CCGCGGCCGCGGGGGCGGGGCCGGGGCCCAGGGGCGGGGCCAGGCGGGATGCCCCGCCGCCCCACCGGGAGGAGGCGCCCTGGCTGCGCGGGGAAGTCCCGCGCTCCGGGTGGAGCCGGGGCTCATCCCGCGCACTACAGGTGCGCGGCGTCTGGGAGCCGGAAGGCCAAGGAAGGGACGTGCACTCCCTCCACCCCGAAACCCAGATCAAACACGGACATGGGCTTTTTTTTTTTAACAAAATGTATTCATCTTCCTTGGAACTGAAAAATAAATCTATGTACAAAACAGGAAGAAGCTAGCCCTCCCCCCCTGCAATTTCCTCCCGGGTCCCCCGAGATAGGCCGGCTCTCGGAGGGTCCGAGGAGGGCCCGCTCTGATCCCGGGCCAGCTTGGTCAGGAAGGAGAGGGGCTCAGGATCAGTGTCCCGGCTCGGGCTCGGGGCACGGCAGCTAGCATTCCAAATCCAGGCAGCAGTACGAAGGTCTACGGGGTAGGGGCTTGGATTCCCAAAGGATGGAAATCTGAGGTGCGGAAATGTACCGCAGAGGGTAGGACGGGGTCCTGGGTCCCGGGTTACAGGTGAGATCTAGGGCATCCTCAGAGCTCCGAAGGAAGGAACCCGGGTTCCGCCTGCGTTCCACTGAATTTCAGGGGTTGGACCTTTGATGATTGGCTACACGGGCCTACGATGAGGTTCCAACTGACCGGCTGGGATCCTGGGAGAGGAGACCTATACTCTAAGAACCGAGCCCGGCCCGAGGTCTGGGCTGGAGCTAACTGCATGTTCCAGTCATGGTATGTAGTCTGTAAACAGGCCGCAGGGCAGACCTAGAACCCCTGGGGCTGGAGTGGGGGACCAGGGTGAAGCTTGATGGGCAGTATTGGCGGGGACTGGTCCCAGCACAGTTCGAATCCCCCACAGTTCAGAGGCCCTTGCGCTGCTGCCGCTTAAGGAAAGAGAGGGTGTAGTCGCTGGGTGTGGACACCTTCTGCTTCTTCATCTGCACTTGCGACTGCGCGGTGAGTTGCAGCTTGATGGCGCTCGAGTTGATCTTGGTGGCCACCAGCAGCTCCTTCATGCCTTTCATCTTCTCGCTCTGGAAAGTGAGCACCGGCCCATCCAGGGGTGGGGACGCAGCGGGAGCCGGCGCCTGAGCAGCGCTGCCCACCTCGGGACCGCGGGCCGTACCCGGGAGAGTCCCTGGTGGCTTCCGGGGCGGTCCTGACCCTGCACCCTGACCAGAGCTGGGGCCCTTGTCCAAGGCGAGCTTCTTAGGCGGCGGCGGCTCCTCGGGCTTGGACTCCCGGCGGGGACCACGCCTCCGGCCTTCGCGGGCCTCATCCCCCCATGGCTCCTCGGTCTCTGCTGCCTCAGCTTCACGGCTCACTATGTGCACCTTCTGCCGCACCTGGAGGGTGCATAAGCCAAGGGAAAGGTTGTGGGCAGCTGGTGGAACTCCAGGCCCAGCCCACTGGCTCCTCCTTAGGGAGTCTTCTCTCATCAGTTCAGAGGACTGGCAGATACTGCCTCTGGCCAGTAAAGGCCTCCACTCTCTCTCAGCTAATGTCACCGACTGTAGTGCCCAGCCCCCTGTGCAGTGCCCCTCACCTGTCCCTCGAAGCGACCTAGGGACTGCACAAGGAAGGTGGCCCAGCCCACATGTAGCACTGGTGTGGGACTGCCCTCCTCCCATTTGCAGATGCCATCATAGAATCGCAGCAGGTGGGCAAAGCACTCTGGGTCCTGGAGGGCAGAACCCTGGCTCTGGGTACCCTGGCAAGAGGGAGGGAGAGCACAGGTCAGACACAGAGCAGGCCAGGTCCTACCTGGGCAGAGCTCTGGATGCAGAGGTGAGTGTAGGTCAGGAGCATTCCTCACAGATGTCTTAAGCACAGGTGAGGACCTAATCATGAAAGATGGGCCATAGCCCTATTCCCCTGAAGTCACTACATAGAAAGCTCTAAAACACCCTCAAACCCCCCAAACCCAGGCCTGGGATCTCAGCTCCAGTAAAAAAGAATGACAGTCCATGCAGTCCCACGTGCCCAGAAGGTGGTAGACACAGTGGTGCTCCAGCCCTTCACCTGGGCCTGTTCCCCTGGCCGCTCCTCGCCTGCCTCTAGCAGGCTGGCTGCCTCCTTCAGCAGATTGGGGATAACATCATTGGCCACTTCAAAGAACTCCTTGTAGATCTCCTCATCCTCCCGGCAGTAGTTGTAGCTGTGAGAAGAGGGGGCACGTGGGATTCAGCCTGACAGGTGCCCTCATGAGTTGGTGCGGGGCACTGGGTCATGCCACTGACTGATAAGCTGGGGTCCTCGTTCACCCAGATGACAGTGACCATGTGGGTCCAAGGAAGGCTGAGGAGTGGGGTATGGGGCTGGATTAGAAAATGGGCAGAGACAATGGCACAATGGGCTAGTGTGACTACAGAATATATGACAGAGAGGAGGGAGGAAACACATGAGGCTCTAACCAGAGATCCCACTACCTGGGTGATGGTGGCCTTGGCTGCCTAGAGGCTGAACAGAGGGAGAGGGGACAGACTGTAGAACCCAGGTCTCATCCTGGATGAGTGATTACAAAGTGATAGAAAGAACAGACTGGGGACCCTGGTGGGGGCTCCTCACTCCTGGATGACAGTGGCAGTGTCGGCCCAGGCCTGTAGGGCTTCTCGAACATTTCGGTTGCGACAGTGATAGCCAGCCAGGTACATGTAGGGGTAGATGTGCTCATCTCGGTAGTATGTCTTAGCTGAGGCAATGCCCTGAGGAGTGGAATAGAAGAACCTCAGGGAGGTGGCTCCCAGCTGCATAAGCCAGCATGAATGCCCCACCAGTCATACCTTACAAAAGGAGCACTCCAAAGAGTCCTCCCTGCCTCTAACCCCAGCTCTATTCCCTGCTGGCCCCTCTACCTGGTGCTTTCCCTGGATGTGCAGGGCTGCTTGCTAAGGCAAGGGCAGAAGGCAGGGGTGGTAATCCCACCTCACACCCAGGGCAGGTTTCTTTCCCACATGTTCTACAATGAACTCCAAGCCCAACTGCTTTCCTACCACACAGAGCAAGCTCACACCCCTCCACAATGCTACCACGTTTGACCTGTTATGTGCAAGGACAGTTGGGGCAGCAGGAAAATGAAGGGCTGGCTGGTGGGACAAATACAGGCCCTGCCAACCCTAGGCTAGGGAACCCAGTGCACCTCTTAGAGCACACAACTACCCTCATAATGCACACTTGATACAAAGTGGGGATTAGGCAGGCAATGCCCTCCAGCACACTGCTTCCTCTCACTCCCCCAAAGCGGATCCCAGACATTGTTGGGGCCTCCCTTCTGCAGTCTCCTGAGATACCTTTACCTTGTGATACAGGGTAAGTGGGTCAGGCCGACCAGGGGTGGGCTCCAGCTCCTCTAGGTCTGCCAGGTTCCCTAGTGCCATGGGGTACCTGGGAAAAGATCATAAATCCAGGCTGCCACCCAATCTTCTGGTGTCCCCAAGGCCTAGCCTGACCACATCCTCTTACTGACCTTTCCAGATGTCCCAGGTCATAGAGCAGCCAGAGCAGCTTCTAGAGCCGAAGGAGAGAGGCATAAGCTAGGGGAAGAGGGTTGCCTATATGGCAGAGTGGGGTCCAGAAGCAACAGGGACACTCCACCAGAGAAGAAAGGACGAGAATTCAGGCCCAGCTCTTTCATGGAACAAAGCCCTTCCAAGTCTCAATTCCACTATCCCTTGAGCCCTGGGAAGGGGCAGGCCATTTTTCAGAAGGAAAAGTGAAGGCCTTGACCAGAGCCCTGCAACAGCTGCAGGCAGCAGCCTGCTTGGCACAGGCACTCTCCTTACCTGCTGCAGTTGCAGCAACTCCAATGAGTCAGTGTGCAGGTCGATGGAAGGATTGATGGCACATACCATGAATGCCACCTCCATCTTCCGGTCACAACGCATGTATGATCCTTTCAGGTACAGCCAGCTCTTGGGATGGGACAAGAGAAGAGGTCTCAGGATGTCCCATCCTGTGCCTGTTTCAGGGCATGTTGGCCTAAGTCAGCTCATCTGCCTCCCCTCTTAATGCTAGGATGTGATGGCAAGAGGTGGGCATGGCCAGCAAAGTACAGTCCCTCAGATGATGTGGGCTAGCAGAACAGGAATGGAGCAAGGTTGAGGGAGGTCTAATACCCGCTCAGCCACACCGGCATTGACTGTCTGGCCCCTGCGATCTTCATTGCCTTTGCCGTGCCAGGTAACTTCAGCTGTCTGTTCCCCGTTGGGCCCAAATACCACCCAGGCATGATCCTCAGACAGGGCCAGATGGACATCTCGGAGACCCAGGGCCTGGCAGGCCCCTACGACTGCGAAAGCCACACCGGAGCTGTCCAGTTTGGTACCTGTGGAAGACAGCAGTAATGTACAGTGGTTCCTCCTGGCTTCAGCCTGGAAGAAGAGGGCCAGGGATGGATGGGCCATGCGCCCCTCAAGCCTGTCTCCAGGCCTTTTTCCCACTAAGCTTATAAGTGGCCTCATATTCTTGCTCAATGCTATGCACTAGGAACCAATGCACTTTGCAAGCTCTAAGGTCAAGTCTGTGGTCTGTTTACTTTCAAAATATTTTCACAGGCATTATCTCATTCTATTGTCTCAAATGCATCCACCCTTTCTCCTCTCTCTCCTCAATCTGCTGCCCCCACCCTTTTTCCCTTTATGTTGGGCTGCAAGATTCCTGCCGCTACTCAATGCCAAGGGGCTGAGTGTTAAGTTCATGGATCTGGCTTCAAGCAATCAGGTTCCAATCCCAGCCCTGTCACATCACTTCCCCTCCTGGGGGCTTCAGTTTCCCCAGCTGCAAAGGAGAAAAGAACACCTACACTAGCACACAAGGTTTACAGGTTGCAAAAGGGCTCTGTCAACCATGGCGTTGGCGACCTGACTCCAACCTGTGATGAAGCTGAAGAGGGACTGGATGTGGGCCCGGTCCTTGAAGTAGGAGCGGCTGAGGCTGTTCCATATGACATCGGAGACCTTTTTGACCAGTTCGCGACTGGAGACGCCCCCTTCTCGCGGGTAGAGGGACAGGTCGACAGCGCCGCGGATCTGGGCGGTGAAGCGGGCATAGAGTGCAGCGATGATGGATAGGTCGGCCACGGGGAAGTAGGTGAGGCCGCCGGGAGGATCAGGAGCGGGGCTGGGCTGGAAGGTGAGCTCAGGTACATTAGTGGGGATGACACGGTTGACAGCCAGGAAATGCTCCACGAAGCCCAGGACCAAGGAGAGGAGCACCAGGTCCGGCTCCTCTCGGCCCAGCTCGGCTGCGAACAGGCGCACCACGTCGTCGATGGAGCGCAGAGGGAACAGCGTCTTCTGGGCGGCCTTCAGCCCCATGGCGGCGGGCGGTGGCCTGCGGGCGAGCCGAGGGAGGGAGGGTCGGGCTCGGCGGGGGAGCCCCCTCCCAGGCTCGGCGAAGGCTCTGCCGTCCGCCACAACTCTGCGCTTCCCCGGCCCAGTCGGCCTGCGCTCACCAGCGGCCCCTTCGGTCGCGGAGACCCCTGGGCCGAGGCTGCGGGGCCTCCTCGTCCCCTACAACCCCGGGACCCCCGGGTCCCGGAGGCGGCGCCGCAAAGACCTCGCGGAGGAGCCGCCAAGGCCGCCCCTCCCAGGCCCTAAGACCGCACCCCCGGCCCTCCGGAGCCTGTGCAGACGGCGCGCCCCAAAGCCAGCCCCCAGCCTAAGTCCCAAAGAGAGTCCTGGCCTCGGTCCCCCGCGCCCACCTCCGCGCTTACATCCCACACAAGGCACCGCGGCACCCGCCGCCTGGAGCCTGCTGGGAAATGGAGTTCCGCGCCCCTCTGGCCGCACTGCCTGCCGGGAAATGGAGTACGGGCCGGGCCCGTCCCGCCCCACCCTGGCCAAGTCTGGAAACCACAGGCCACGCAGCCCCCTAAGGCTTACGGGGGTGGCAGGCTCTCTCAGGTCCAGCAAGCAGGAGGCCGGTAGAAGGAGAGGGGCGGGGGCGGGGGGGGCGTCATCTTTGAACTCCTCAGCGATTGGTCAGCCACGATCACGCAACCCAGTAGGAAGCGGTTCCACGGAGCCTTGTGGGAGATGTAGTCCTGAGAATGACGGCGCGCTCAGGTGGCCGCTGAGATGCTGCAGGGTGTATTTTTGTCTGTCTGCAAGATGTGAGGAATCGAGTACTTTAAAACACTACAGGGTTGGTGCTCGCCTATTATCCCAGTACTGTGGAAGTGTAAATGTGCTCAGCAGCTGTAGTTGGACATTTATCAGTCTCGTTGAATATATAAACGTGTCTAGCAATATTTTTTCCAATTCTGAGCATGAAAAAAATCTAATATGCAAGGAGGCGCATTGAAAATAAAACCATCATTATTGAGGGCTGGAGAGATGGCTGAGTGGTTAAGAGCACTGGCTATTCTTGCAGAAGACCCAGGTTCGAATCCCAGCACCCACATGGTGACTAACAGCAGCCCTTAACTCCGGTTCCAGGGGATCTGATGCCCTCTTCTGTCCTCCGCGGGCATTGCATGACATGGGTGCAGGCATAACATATAAAATATAAAATAAAAAGAAATAAAATTTTTAAAAAGAAAATAAAATTATCATTATTTATAAAAAGGGTAAAAGTTCAAAGAATAGGGGCTGGAGAGATGGCTCTGCGGTTAAGAGCACTGACTGCTCTTGCAGAGGACCTGGGTTCGATTCCCAGCACCTACATGGTGGTGGCTGCAAACCGTCCTTAACTCCAGTTCTAGGGGAATCCCAAACTCTCTTCTGACCTCCGTGGCATTGCATGACACGGGCGCACTCACATACATGCAGGCAATACACTCATACACATAAAATAAAAATAATAAATAAAATATTTTAATTAAAAAAAAGTTCAAAGAATAAAATACATGGCCCTGTGTACCCAAAAATGGACTTTCAGAGGCTGGAGAGATAGATTGCTCAGTGGTTACGGGCACTGGCTGATCTTGCGGAGGACCCAGGTTCGGTTCTCAGCACCCATATGGTGGCTAACGGTCCTCCATAACCCCAGTTCCATAGGATCCGACGTCCTCTTCTGGCCTCCACAGGCATTGCACAACGGAAAGAAGAAAGCTGCAGGATAGTATTTCTGCTCGAATAGTATTTATTATTAATTATCCCCTCCTCCCTTGAACCAGGGTCTCCTGCAGCTGGCCTTGACCTTGCTGTGTAGCTGAGGATGACCTTGGGCTCTTAATATTCCTGCCTCAGCCTCCCAAATGTTGGGGATTATAGGTATATCCCACCAATCCCGGCACCCCCTCCACTTTAAAAATATTTTAAAGATAGCGGGAAGTTAGCTGGGGAAGAGGGAGGGAAGGTATTATCTCAACAGGTTAATGAATGTCCCTTAGGATGAGGGGACCTGGCGCCCTGAGTCTGGTTGCAGGCTAAGGAAATTGGTGGTTGTTCAGGCTTATCTTGAATCATCGGAAAGGTTGCTTATCTTAGGGGGCAGGGAGGACTGATCAGCAAGTTCTCTGGAGGCTGCTTGCCCTGAGGGGCAGGGAGGGCTGCCAGGCAGCGTGGTCTCCCACAGGCACTGAAAGAAAAAGCTTTGGAAGGTTATCTGGCTTCTGGAAAGATCCAGGTTCCCAGAGGAGGCAGCCCTTTTTGAAGTTTGAAACAGGAGTTAAATTTTTTTTTTTTTTGTCTTTTTGAGACAGGGTCTCCTTGTAGCCCCAGCTGTCTTGGAACTCACTATGTAGACCAGACTGGCCTTGAACTCACAGAGATCTGCCTGACTCTGCCTCCTGAGTGCTGGGATTAAAGGCATGCACCACCATGCCCGACAAGATTTATTATTTTTAAGTGTGCGTGTGTGTGTATGTGTGTACATGCACATGTGCATTAGTGTAGGTGCCAATGGAGGCCAGAGGGGTCAGATCTCCTGGAGCTGTAGTTACAGGCCACCCAACATGGGTGCTAGGATTTGAACTCAGGTCTTCTACAAAAGAAGTATGTATGCCCAACCTCTGAGCCATCTCTCCAGTCCCATGTTTTTGTATGTGTGCATCAAAATGAACAACTTTAATGAACTAAAAGACATTAAATCTGTGGAAATCTACAGGACTACAGGAAAAGGAAATTGCATTCAACATCATTTAACATGCCTCTTTAATTTACTCCTTTCTTGGCAAACATATGTGAAGGTCAAGAATTTCCTGTCTTAAATGAATGTTTGTTTTCATTACATGTACTATTCTTTCAACTAGATCAGCATATTTTCTGAGTTTTGTGAGGTACCCTGTGAAGTGTGCCCTCCAGCCCCCACTGCTTAAGACTTCCTTTGTCTGAGAGAATCCTGGCTCTCTCCCTTGCTCCAGCTGAGTGATCAGAACTGGTTTGAAAGTGGATGGCCCCAGAAATGCCACATCTGCAGAGTTCTCCATCATGTACAGGGCCTTCTGGGTGTGTGTCAAGCTGGCCCATTCCTGTTGAATGAAGTACACAGCCACATCCTCAAAAGTCAGTCACTGATTCCTGTCACTCCATTGTTAAGGAGACAGCTGCCATCATCAAATTATGCATGTGTATGTGTGTCTGTGTGTCCATGTCTGTGAGTGGCTATGTGGGCATGAATGAAGGTGCCTTTAGAGGCTAAAAAACTGTGATTACAAGTGGTTGTGAGCCCTCTGACATGGATGCTGGGAACTGAACTTGGATCTTCTGCAATGGCAGTATGCATGCACACAACCATTGAGCCATCTCTACAACCTCCCTCTACCTTTTAAAATTACACTGGTTGTGTTGGATTGTTGGATTAGGGCCCATCTTCATGACCTCATCTTAACTAATGACTTCTGCAATGATCTGGTTTTCAAATAGGTTACTATCTGAGACTAAGAGTTCAACATATAAGGCTGGGGAGATGACTCAGCAGGTAGGAGCTCTTGCTGTACAAGCATGAGGACCTGAGTTCAAATCCCCAGCACACACACACACACACACACACACACAACCTGTAACACCAGCACTGTGGAGCAGGGGAAGTCAGAGACAGCAGGATCATTGGGGCTTGCTGGCTAGCTCCAGGCTCAAAGAGAGAGCCTGTCTCAAGGGAATAAAGTGGAGTGTGATAGATCAGGACGCCTGAAGTCCCCCTCCAGTCTCCACACCTGAACAGGTCCACACAGGTGTGAAGACACCACACACAAACACATACACACACACACATTTTTAAAAATAGAGCTTGGGTTATAGCTCAGTCCATAGAGTGCTTGCCTAGCATGCATGAAGCCCTAGGTTCAATCCCATGTAAACCAGGTGTGGTAGAGCAGGCTGAAATCCCAGCACTGGGGAGGTAAGGTTAGGAGGATCAGAAATTCAGCACTTGGGAAGCAGAGGCAGGCAGATCTCTGTGAGATGGAGGCCAGCCTGGTTTACATACATAGCAAGTTCTAGGCCAGTTGGGGTTATAGGGAGACCCTGTCTCAAAAAAAGAAAGAGAGCCGGGTGTGGTGGCACAGGCCTTTAATCCCAGCACTCAGGAGGCAGAGGCAGGTGGATCTCTGTGAGTTCAAGGCCAGCCTGGTCTACATAGTGACTTCCAGGCCAGCTGCTACTGGGAGACCCTGTCCCAAAAAGACAAAAAAAAAAAAAAATCCAAGATCATCCTCTGACTACTTAGTGAGTTCAAAGCCAGCCTAGGTTACATGAGACCGTGTCTCAAAAAAATTAAAAGTTAAAATGTGAATTAATTAATTAAAAATATTTTACGTGTGTGAATGTATTGCCTGAACCTATGCAAGTGCGTATGACACAGTGCCGCAGAGGTAAGAAGAGGGCGTCGGATCCCCTGGAACTGGAGATACAGAGGGTTGTTAGTCACCACGTGGATCTCTGTGAGTTCAAGGCCAGCCTGGTCTACACAGTTCAAGCCAGCCCCACTACAGGGAGACCTCATCTCAAAAGACCAAAAAATAAAGAGAACTTAGCTCACAGTTTTGTGACTTGAAAGTCCACACAGCATGGTGGCAACTCTGGCAAGGGTCCCTTTGGCTATGTCACATTATGATAGATGGCATCTGTGGTGTGGTGGGAGAGGGGCGTTGACATTGGGAAACCAGAAGCCAGGGCACAGGGAAGGATGTTTTTTAAAAAGCTCACTTTTTAGTCCCAGCACTTGGAAGGCAGAGGCCGGATACCCTTTTAAATCACTGAGCCCTCTCTCCAGCCCCTCAGTTTGCTTTTTGAGACAAGATTTCATTCACTGTGGTAGGTCTAGTTCTTTGACTCCTGGCCTCAAACTTGCTTAGTTGAGGATGACCTTGAACTCCTGATCTTCCTGCCTCCACCTCCAGGGTACAGAGATTACAGGCATGCACCACCACACCCAGCCTTAGAATAACTCCTTGTGGCAAGACGCCATTTAGCAGCAGAACAGTAACAGAGAAGAGCTGCAGAATCCCTGGTAAAAGCAAAGAGGGAGCAGATAGGGCGTCCCCAGAGTCCCCAGAGTCAGCGCCTCTTGTGCCTTCTGTGGTCGGAGCCTGTAGTCTCCTCTAATGCTTTAACACCAGGTAGCGCTCTGAACCCAGGTTTGTATCTGGTCTGCTGCTGTGGCCTTAGATACACAGGAAGCAGGCGCTTGGTGGACAGGGAATTGGGCTTTTGGCCGTGCAGCTGCTCAAGATGTCTGTGTTCATGAAAGTTACCGAATACACTTGTTTATCTCGCCAAGCTGGTTTTCTCAGAAGCTTTTTTTGGTCTGTCCAGACCTTCTTTTTTAAAATATTTATTTTAGTCTTTTTGAGACAGGGTCTCCCTGTAGCCCCAGCTGTCCTGGAACTCTCTATGTAGACCAGGCTGGCCTTGAACTCACAGAGATCCACCTGCCTCTGCCTCCTGCGTGCTTGTTTTAAAAGCATGCACCACCACACCTGGCTTAGTGTGTATTCATTGTATACAGTGATGTGCCTGCATGTAGGTAAGTGCACCCATGTCATGCAATGCCCATGGAGATCATAAGAGGCTGTCAGAAGAGGCTGTTGGATCCCCTGGGACTGGAGTTACAGACAGTTGTTAGCTGCCATGTGGGTGCTGAGATTTGAACCCGGGTCTTCTGCAAGAACAGCCAGTGTTCTTAACTGCTGAGCCATCTCTCCAGCCCCCTATTATTTTTGTTTTATGTGTATGAGTGTATTGCCTGCACGTATGTGAGTGCACCCGTGTTGTGCAATGCCTCGGAGGTCAGAAGAGGGTGTTTTGTTTTGGTTTTGGTGGTGGTGGTGGTGGTGGTGGTGGTATCTTGAACATTTTTGAAACATGATTTCACTACATAGCTTTGGCTGGTCTGGAACTCACTATGTAGACCAGGCTAGCCTTGAACTCACAGAGCTCCACCTCCTCTGCCTCTCCAGTCCTGGAATTAAAGTTGTGTGTCTAACATTTATTCTTTACATTTACTTATTGGAGGGGGGGTGCATGTCATGGTGTGCACATGTGGAGGTCAAAGGACAACCGTTGGGAAGTCAGTGAAAATTAACTTAAAAAAAAAAAGATTGGCTGGGCCTGGTGGCACATACCTTTCATCCCAGCACTCGGGAGACAGAGGCAGGCAGATTTCTGTGAGTTCAAGGCCAGCCTGGTTTATATAGTGAGTTCAGGCCAGCTGGGGCTTCAGGGAGACCCTGTCTTAAAAAGACCAAAACAAAAATATTTATTTTTTGCCGGCGTGGTGACGCAGGTCTTTAGTTCCAGCACTTGGGAGGTAGAGGCAGGCGGATCTCTGTGAGTTCCAGGCCAGCTGGGGCTACAGGCAACCCTGTCTCAAAAAGACAAAAAAACAAACAAAATTTATTTTTATTTTACATGTGTGAGTGTTTTGGCTGCATATAAATGCTCAGAGGCCAGAAGAGGGCATTGGATCCTCTGGAATTGATGTTTCCAATGGCTGTGAGCCACCTTCTGGGTACTGAGAACTGAACTTGAGTTCTCTGCAAGAATAGCCAGTGCTCTTAACCGCTGAGCCATCTCTCAAGCCCCCTGAAAATTAACTTTGTAAAAATAAAAATGTAATTTATAGGGGCGGGAGAGATGGCTCAGCGGTTAAGAGCACTTGCTGCTCTTGCAGAAGACCTGGGTTCCACATGGCAGCTAACAGTCCATAACTCCAGTTCAAGAGTCAAGGGGATCACATGCCCCATTGCACGACACAGGTACACTTACATACATGCTGGCAATACATGTATACACATAAAATAAAAATGATAAATTAAAAAACATAATTTATAGGGGCTAAAGAGATAGTCCAGCAGTTAAAGAGCACTTGACGCTCTTGCAGAGGACCCAAGTTCAGTTCCCAGCACCTACATGGCAGCTCAGAATTGCCTGTAACCACAGCTCTAGGGGATCTGATGCCCTCTTTTGGCCTCCACAGGCACTGTGTTCACATGCATAAACTCATACACAGATATATACATCGTATTTAAAATGTTTTAATGTAATTAATAGACCAGGGAGATGGTTCAGTGGCAAAAGCACTTGCCACCACTCAGGAGGTAGAAGCAGGCAGATCTCTGTGAGTTCAAGACCAGCCTGGTCTACATAGTGAGTTCCAGGCCAGCTGGGGCTACAGGGAGACCCTGTCTCAAAACACACAAAAAAAGCACTTGGCCACACAAGCCAAAGGACCTGAGTTTGATTCCTCAGAACTCACATAAATACATAAATATGCAAGGAGAGAACTGACTACACAAAGTTGTCTTCTGATCTCCACATGCACAGTCACATGCATAACATACACATAATAATAGTAAATACAAATTTTTAAAAATGTAATTAATAAGCCAGGTGTGGTGGTGCACACCTTTAGTCCCAATACTTGGGAGGCAAAGGCAGGTGGTGGATCTTTGTGAGTTCAAGGCCAGCCTGGTCTACATAGTGAGTTCAGGTCAGCTGGGACTACAGGGAGACCCTGTCTCAAAAAGACAAAAAAAAAAAAAAGTAATTAATAAAAAAGAAAAATGTAAAAATTTGGAATTGTGTTACTGGCTGATTTACTGAGGGAATCCACTTTGGTGAGGGATGGCTTTAGGCTTTAACCTGCCAGAGGTCCATAAATCTCTTCCATTTGCCCAGGGTCTCCTCTTTGGCCCTCTGCACCCCAATGTACAAAAGAAACATTCCCCTAGAGCACCAAAAACATTTTTCATCATTACCTCACCAAAATCACCAGAACCTCTCATGAGATTTTTTTATTTTAATTTTATGCATATGAGTGTTTTGTCTGCATGTTTGTAGGTGCACCTGTGTGTGCAATGCTCACGGAGGCCAGAAGAGGGCATCGGACCCTCTGGAACTGGAGTTTCAGAGGGTTGTTAGTCACCATATGTGTCCTGCCTAACCAAACCCAGGTAGTCTGCAAGAGCAGCCACTGCTCTTAACCACTGAGCCATTTCTCCAGTCCCATGAGATGAGTTTTATAATTTCCACATGCAGATGGGGAAGCTGAGGCTGAGAAAGGCCAGGTGGGCTGCCCGTGACTCCAAGTTGCTGACCCTTCAGCCTGGGCTCCTAACTAGGCTCTAGAATTCTATGCTGTACCTGCATTCCTTCTCCCAACCAGATGGTGGCGCCCCAGCTTCTTGCTATGCTTTCCTCTGGCTTTGTGACCTGCCCAGGTCCCAAGGTTGGATCTTATCCTTTTTCATCCAGCTCAGTCTGGAGGGCTGAATGCTGCCCAGTCATGGAAACCTCAGCTCGGAACAGTAAGATGCCTGATGTCCTCTTCTCCTCCTCTGCAGCCTCACATATGTGGGCACTGGAATACCACACGCCTTTCGTGGGCCTCCAGATCCATTTCCATCCTCTGTACCTGCTCCATACCTCCAAGGCTGTCTCTGTCAACTGCAAACCTGAGTCTTCAAACCAGAGGCTGCTGGAGAGGGGAGGGAAGTAGAGTAGATGAGGGAACTTACCTCCAGGCCTGCCTTCCTGTTTAGCCAAGGCCAAGGTCTACTGACCGCCACAGCTATCATGTCACGCTACTCTTTCCTCCTGTGGACAGCATGGGGCACTAACCCCTGCTGCTAGGATTCTGGGATGCAGCCCTCCTTGGTGGACTCCCAACAACCCTACACTTAGGTAAACTATCCCTTCATTCACCCTATTTGAGCATGTCACCAGATTCTTAGAGACACAGGCCAGGGGGCTGGGGAGATAGTTCAGCTGGTCAAGTGCCTATACTACAGGCAGGAGGACCTAAGTTTGATCCCCAGAATACAAGTGAAAAAGCTGGGCATGGTAGAATGTTTGTAATCCTAGCTCTTATGGGGTTAGGTGAAGGGGGAGAAAGATTCTTGGAGTTTACTGGTCAGCCACTCTACTCTGCCAAGACCAGGATGATGAAAAACCAAGGTGGGGGGAAAAAACAAAACAAAACCCAAGGTTGGGTCTAGAGAGATGACTCAGCAGTTAAGAGCACTGGATGTTCTTGCAGAGGACCCAAGTTTAGTTCACAGCACCCACATGGCAGCTAATAACCATCCTTAACTCCAGTTCTCTCCAGGACTCCTCGGGCATTGCATGACAAGTGTATTTACACACATGCGGGCAAAACACTTTTTTTTTGTGTGTGTGTGTGTGTGTGTTTGTGACAGGGTCTCCCTGTAGCCCAGCTGTCCTGGAACTCATATGTAGACCAGGCTGGCCTTGAACTCACAAAGATCCGCCTGCCTCTGCCTCCTGAGTGCTGGGACCAAAGGCGTGCACCACACCTGGCAGCAAAACACTTTTTAAAATTTTTATTTTATGTGTATGCGTGTATTGCCTGCATGTAGGTAAGTGCACCCGTGTCGTGCAATGTCCTCGGAGGTCAGAAGAGGCGGTCGGATCCCCTGGAACTGGAGTTACGGACAGTTGTTAACTGCCATGTGGGTGCTGGGATTTGAACCCGGGTCTCCTGCAAGAACAACCGGTGTTCTTAACCTCTGAGCCATCGCTCCAGCCCCTTAAAACATTTTTTTTTTTTTTTTGGTCTTTTTGAGACAGGGTCTCCCTGTAGCCCCAGCTGCCCTGGAACTCACTATGTAGACCAGGCTGGCCTTGAACTCACAGAGATCCGCCTGCCTCTGCCTCTGGAGTGCTGGGATTAAAGGCATGCGCCATCATGCCTGGCTAAAAACACTTTTAACACATTAAAAACAACAACAAAACAAGGTGACTGGGTGTGGTGACACAGGCCTTTAATCCTGGCACTCTGGAGGCAGAGGCAGGTGGGTTTCTGTGAGTTCCAGGCCAGCCTGGTCTATAGAGAGAATTCCAGGCAGCCAGTTACATAGTGAGACTGTCTGAAAAACAAGAGAAACAAACAAAACCCCTAACAAATAACAACAAAAACACAGCAGACAGCTCCTGAAGAATTATAGCCAATGTTGTCCTGGGGCCTCTACACACATGTACCCATGTGAACACACACACACTACCCCTGAACTGTCTATGATGTTCCTCCTCCCCTACTCCCCGTTTTTGCACTGCAGGAGGACAGACCCAGGCTGGGAAGCCAGCAGCTTATAAAGTTGTCTTTATTGGTTTCTTGCTGCATCACAGAGCATCAGGGTCTATCCCTTCCAGGAATGTGGTATTTAAGGAGATAAATACTTACTCTACCCCCCATACTTCAGGAGAGGGAGGTTTAATAAAAATAGCAATATAATAACAACAATAATGACTGTGATCAATAAGAAAATGCCCCCTATGTTCCCCTAATACATTTGGTTGAAGCTTCGAGAAAAAGGACCCCCTCTTACTGGGAAGAGCCAAAGTGTGGCAGAGATCTTCCAGTGGCCCCCAGAGGGTGTCCATCTCCCACCAAGAAGCCCTTATAAATACCCTCCCTTCCCCTCCCTGCCTAGGAACCATTTTCCCCTGGATGGATTAGCTGGCAACAGTCCTGCTCCCCATCCCAAGTCCGTCATCCCCAGAGAAGGGTCCCCGGTCTGGTTCTGTCCCAGCTCGCTGCCTCCTCCTCTTCCTCTGCTCTCTCCAGTCTCTTCCTCTCTCACTCTGTCCCTCACCTCCTCTTCTTCACACTTCCTCTGTCTCCTCCTCTTTCACTTCCTTTCCTCCCTGCCTTGCTCTCACCTCCTTCACCTGCATCTCCTTTCCTCTGAATCAGAGCCCATCTTTCCCAGCCTGACCTTGAGCAGAGACCAGGATATGCCGTCTTGGTCTCAGAGGGAGACCAGGCGCACAGACAATACCTTCAGCATGCCTGCAGGGACCCGTCCTTCTCCAGCCCTCATCCTGACTCCTATAAGCTTCCCAGGGCTTGGCCCTGGAAAACACAGCTTTGGCACAATCATCCCCGGGCACCAGAGCCATGGCACCCCCAGCAGCCAGTGCAGGCCTAGGTTGGGAGCCCAGGGAAAGGAGGGACAAAGGTGGAGAGTCAGGACCCCCTAGTCCTGGGCACCCAGGCAAGCCTCACTGTTAGCCCTCCACCTAGGCCCTCCCTGAGTCTGAATTTCCACGTGTCCCGGACCAGCGGGAGTACGGCATTCCACACGCTCTTTGCTCCCTCACTCCTTCTGTCCTGGGACTGGGAGGGCACTGCCAGAGGGCATCAGGGGGTGCTCTCTGACTCAGGGGCTGGGGGGAGGCTTCGGGGCCGCTCTGAGACCTGGAGGGGAGAGAACAGGAAGTCAGGTGGGAAGAGAGACTGAGGACCCTTTCCTCATGGTGCTAGTGCCTCCTGGAGGCCGGCCAAGAACCCAATGCCTGAAGTGGCAAGGCCCTAGAGGAAGTTATACTTGAGGTGTGGTGGTGATGGCTGCGTTCTCAGAGAACTGGAGCGGGCCTGTGCATTCAGCAGTAGACCCAGAGTTTGTTCATCCACTCTGTTCTACGTTTAGTCAACAAACATGCTTTACTCTGGGCAGAAAAATGAAAACTGACCCCCGACTACCATGGAGCCCACAGCTGAGTAAAGACAGGCACGGAAGAACACTGCAGCACAAACTGGGTGTAGAGGTGTGTGCCTGTAACTACCAGCACTCAGCAGATGGAGGCAGGAGGATCATGAGTTCAAGGCTGGCCTGAGCTACGTATCAAGTTTGAGACCAGCCCAGGCTACTTGAGACCCGGTCAAAAGAAAAAAAAGGAGGAAAGGCAGGAGGGAGAGAGGGAAGAAAGGAAAACCAAAGCACAAGCCAACAGAGGGAGGAGGTAGTGATACTGCACCTGAGCATGTGGTCAGGCATTCTGAAGGTAACAGTGGAGGGCAGCTGGGTGCTAATCAAGTTGAGGACAGGAAAAGACATTTAAAGTAGAAGGAACAACAGGGGCTGGAACTTGGAAGTATGAAAGAACATGGCGGGCTGGAGTTCTGAGTGACCTTGTGGGACTAGGGTGTGGGGGTAGATGGGAGCCACTGGAGACGTGAAAGCCCTCTTTTGGCCTCCAAGACATTGCATGCATATGGTGCACTTACATACATACAAACAAAACACTCATAAACATATTCAGTGTTAAGAGTGTTTGTCTAGCATACCTGTACAAGACCGTTTGATCCCCAGCACTTCAAAAAAATAATAATTTGTTTTTTTTTGGGGGGGGGTCTTTTTGAGACAGGGTCTCCCTGTAGCCCCGGCTGTCCTGGAACTCACTATGTAAACCAGGCTGGCCTTGAAATCACAGAGATCCGCCTGCCTCTGCCTCTGCCTCCCGAGAGCTGGGACTAAAGGCATGTGCCACTGCACCCGGCAAAATAATAATTTTTAAAATCCTAGGGCAGGGGAGATGGCTCAGCGGGTAAGAATACTTGCCCCACAAGCCTGATGACCCAAGTTTGGTCCCTGGGACCCAGGTAAAAAGCTGGATGCACTGGCACACATCTGTAATCCCTGCACTCCTAAGGAGATGGGAGGCAGGGAGGGACATCAGTCAGAAGCTTATGGGCCCACCACCTGGAGCACTTAGTGCAGAAAGGAGAGAGACTCTGCCCTACCTAGGAACCAAGTGAAAGAAGAGACCTAAATCTGGAAAATTGTTCTCTGCCCTCCACACTCCTGTTGTGGCATGCACATACTGACACACAGACACATGCATCTCTACACATTAGATGTTTCTGTAGTATAGTGGCTATCATGTTTGCCTAACACATACACCCATATAATCCTAAGAGCTCCTGTCCTGGGGCCCTCCTCCCATGCGCCAGGCACTGTGCCAGGTATCACTAACTCATACAGGTGTCATCGACTCATACAGGTGTCACGGTAACCCCCTCATTTTACAGATAGGTTAAGCTCAGAGGGATTTCCCTTCCCCCATTGGGAACACACATCTAGGACAGAGGGAGCCAAGAGTCCCAGTTGGTCCACCTGCCCCCAGGGACAGGTCCTAAGAGCTCAGCTGGTCCTCTGGCCTCCTATGTCAGTGTACTGCTCAGCCCAGAAGAAAACTGCCTGAACTTTGAAGAAGGAGGGAAAGCCCCACCCACTGGCTCACCTGAATCAGGGACACTGCAGGGCTCAGGGACCCCTGGGGACAGGACACTGATTCACTGGACAGAGATGTCCAAGGTTTCCTCTTCACGGCTGGTTAAGATGGGAGGGGATGGAAGGACAAGATGCCTGGGTCAAATCTAAGGGTTCAGGAGTGGCATCTTGGGGAGGAGTGTGAGTACTGGAGGCTGAGGGGCTGCCCTTACTGGGGTCTGGCTCTCCAGGGAGGCCATCACTGCCCATGGACGCTGGGCGCCTCGATGCCTCTGAGAAGCTGTGGGGCCGCTGCGGTCCGGAACTCCGGGAACCCCGATTCTTCTGTTCCTGAGCCTAGCAGGGAACAGCACAGACGGGCTAGGACCGGGAAGCACAGGCTAAATGAACTGCACTCGGCTTCTGGCATTGGATGTATCCAGGGACACGAGTCGCCTGCCTCAGCAGCCCAAGCAATCAACAGAAGCCTGTTATTGGATCAGCCACATCACCCAGGCTTGTGATTGGCTGCCGAGGACTCACCCGGGGCCCATCCCTGGAGCAGGGCCTCCCGTCTGTAGGGCCCACGTGCACCAGGTGGTTGAAGTTGATGGGCGGTGAGATGAGCTTGGAGCGTACAAAAGGGTCCTTCAGCATCTCCCTGCAGGCAGAGGGGGTGAGGGCAGCAAGCTCGCCCCGCCCCCGGGCTGGGAGCTCCGCCCCAAGGGAAAGCCCCGCCCAGCAGCCACCGCACGTGCGCACCTGCGCTGCTGCTGCCTCTGCTCATCCGACACCCGGAAGAAGAATCGGCGCTTGCTCTTGGTGCGGAACAGCTGGCGCCGGCTGTTATCAGTGAGGTCGGGGATGTCAAACTCGTCCTTCTCTGTAGAAAAGCAGGGAGCTGGGGAGGTGCTCCGGGCTCACACCTGTGCACAGGTGCACACACATGCACACTCCCTACCTGCCAGCGGGTTCCTGAGGTAGGTCAGGCGGACCTTCTCAGTGCCATAGAGGCACAGGGAGCCTTCTGGATTCAGGGGCCGCACCTGATGCGGCAGCAAGCACAGAGGTCAGGCCATGTCACTCACCCCACCCCATCCCAGTGCAGCCCCAGGGTTCTGGGTGGCCCGTCACCTTCTTGAGCGGCACAGTCTGCACCCATTCTGCGCGCCTCACATCAAACACATCAATGGAGTTTTCACTGAACACTGTTAGGTAGGGCGCTGTGTAACCTGTAGATGGGAAAGTCTGTACTGTGCAACCCCAGGTAAGTCGGACACCTCTCTGGGCTGGCTTCCTCCTCAGTTCCACATGGAATACCCTGAGCCCTGCCATGGCAAAGGTCCTTCCTCGGGAGCCTCTCCCAGTTGCTCCACCCAACTCCATAAAGAATGAGATAACAGCCCCAGCAGTCACTACATGCCCACACAGTTCCAGATGCTTGGCATGTTTGTCCTCCCTTGACTCTCCCTAGAGTTCCAAGCAGGTTCTGTCATCACCCCTGATCTTGGACATTACAGATGAGGGAATGAAATCCCAGAGCAAATAACCAAGGTCAGTCACACAGCCAGTGAGGGAGAGTGGAACTTTGCTCTTGGCAGTCTGTGCTACACTCAAGCCCAAGACCCTACCCCAAAGGAAGCTGTCCCCTTCTTCTAGCCGCTAGCCATCACACCAAGTACCCATGGCCACACCAGACTGAGCCTCTGCCCCCTTCATTTGTTCATTCCTCCAAACAAGCATAGCGGTGGTATGCTTGTCTGGGCTGGTGCTGCATGTGGATGAAGAGGCTAGCCCCAGCCTCTTCTGCAGGCCCCAGTGCACCAAAGCAGTCATGAGTAGGTGATAAGACCCAGGACAGAGGTCTGAACACAGGAGAGACCCAAAGAAGCAGTGACAGGAGGAGGAGGGAGTGCAAAGGCAGTCACTATGGTGGCCATTTACAGAAAGGGTAGTAGCCCCAGGCCCTAGCCCATGGAAATTGGACATGTTAGGACTGGCCAGGAAGAGGACAGTGCAGGTGAGGGAAACAGGGGCACAGGCCAGGAAAAGGAAGAGTCCAAACAAGCTGCCCAGGGTAGAACAGGGTGGCAGGATCTCCAGGGCCAAGCCAGGCGCTGGCTGGACCCTGTCTTCCAAACACTGCAGGTTCCTGGCCCCACCTGGCTGGGCCTCCACCTGCCTTACCCCAGCCCGTGGGTGCCGCTGGCCATGGCAGCTCATGGCTTCGTGACTTGCGGCCAGCGCCATCCACGTAGACACCAGCGGTGGTGAAGAGCAGCAGGAGCTCACTGAGGCTGAGTTCCACAGCGCCCATTGCCTCGCCCAGGCCCCCTCGGGATGGTGGCAGCTCCTCAGACACCAGGCCGGTCCCCAGCGCTAAGGGCGCAGCCTCATTGAGCAGCGGGTAGAGAGCGAAGGTGCCGGCTGCACCCACGCAGAGCCTGTCACCCAGCAGCCCCAGGCTCTGCACAGGTGCAGGTGCCTGCAGCTCCCGGATGCGGCGCTGCCAGGGCCCTGGTCCCGGGCCCAGTTGGTAGCAGAGTACTTGGCGTTTGACTGCCACACAGAGCACTGGGGTGCGGGCCTGCAGGATGCGCCCAGCTGCCAACGCCTGGCAGCCTCGGGATTCAGGGATCTTGGCACCTGCTGCCTCAGAATTTTCCAGTTCGGCCAAGGCAAAGAGGCGCACACTGGGGCCCCGACCGCACAGCACGACCAGCAAGCCCGCAGCAGGGCTCACAGCCAGCTTCTGCACCCGGCGGCACTCCCCCACCTGGAAGATGTCTGTGGGGTTAACAGGAGAGAGGAGCATCCAACTCTGTCCCCTGGGACTGGCCCCACCCAGGCCCACACCCACCCTGGCCCAACCCTGTGGTACCATTGTTGTGGAGGTGGATCACAAACAGTCCCTCCTCAGTGCCCAGGGCAAGCCGCTCCTGGTCTGTTGGAGAGAGAAGGTCATGGTGAGAGAGCTTGATCAGTGACATCTGTCCTTACTTCACAGTTTTATTATTATTATTATTATTTTGGTCTTTTTGAGGCAGGGTCTTCCTGTAGCCCCAGCTCTGGAACTCACTTTATAGACCAGGCTGGCCTTGAACTCACAGCAATCCACCTACCTCTGCCTCCCAAGTGCTGAGACCAAAGGCCTGCGACACCATGCCCAGCTAACACAGTTAAAATTTTTTTTTCCCCAGAGCTGAGGACTGAGCCCAGGGCCTTGCGCTTGCCAGGCAAGCGCTCTACCACTGAGCTAAATCCCCAACCTCTAAAATTAAAAAAAATTATTGTTTTTATTTTATGTGTATGAATGTATTGCCTGCATGTATGTGACTGCACTGGTGTTGTGCAATGCCGTGGAGACCAGAAGAGGGCTTCAGATTCTCCTGTAACTGGAGCTGAGGACGGTTCGTAGCTGCCATGTGGGCGCTCGGAATTGAACCCAGGTCCTCTGCAAGAGCAGTCAGTGCTCTTAACCACTGAGTCATCTCTCCAGCCCCACAGTTTAAAATTTTTATGAGTGCTTTGCTTGCATGCATCTAAGTGCACCCATTATGCAATGCCCATGGAGGCCAGGAGAGGGCATTAGATCCTCTGGAACCAGGGTTAAGGATGGTTGTCAGCCGCCAGGTGGGTGCTGAGAACCAAACCTGAGCCCTCTAAGAGAGCAGCCCATGCTCTCAACTGCTGAGCCATCTTTCCAGCCCCTCTCTCACAGTTTAGACTGGCTCTAATGGGGAAGGGCCTCAGTGAAAGCAGTCAGGGTAAGAGGCCCACTACCTTGAACTGTAGGGTTCTGACACCTCACTTTCCCCTTATGTAAACAGAGGACAGTGCCTTTCTTGTAGGGCTGCTGTGAGGAAAGATGACAGTGAGGAGGGCAAGGACCAAGCAAGTCCCAGCTCCACGCTCCATAGACACCCTCATCTCTGCTGTGGCTCCTGCTCCTGCCCCAGTGACCATAGGTTTGCAGGTTGGGGCTGGCTCAGGGAGGGCCTCAGCTGCAGGGGGAATCCAGGGAGGTGACCTGGAACTCATCATGTAGACCAGGCTGGCCTTGAACTCAGAGATCCACCTGCCTCTGCCTCCCCAGTGCTGGGATTACAGGCATGCACCACCACACCTGGTAGCTGTCTTATTGAGCCAGGGTCTCACTCTATAACTCAGGCTGGCCTGGAACTCAGAGATCCACCTGCCACTGCCTCCCCAGTGCTGGGATTACAGGCATGCACCACCACACCTGGTAGCTGTCTTATTGAGCCAGGGTCTCACTCTATAACTCAGGCTGGCCTGGAACTCAGAGATCCACCTGCCACTGCCTCCCCAGTGCTGGGATTACAGGCATGCACCACCACACCTGGTAGCTGTCTTATTGAGCCAGGGTCTCACTCTATAACTCAGGCTGGCCTGGAACTCAGAGATCCACCTGCCACTGCCTCCCCAGTGCTGGGATTACAGGCATGCACCACCACACCTGGTAGCTGTCTTATTGAGCCAGGGTCTCACTCTATAACTCAGGCTGGCCTGGAACTCAGAGATCCACCTGCCTCTGCCTCCCCAGTGCTGGGATTACAGGCATGCACCACCACACCTGGTAGCTGTCTTATTGAGACAGGGTCTCACTCTATAACTCAGGCTGGCCTGGAACTCACTAGGTAGCCCAGGCTGGTCTTGAATTTGAGGAAATCCTCCTGCCTTAGTTAGCCTCTTAAATGTTGGGATGACCATCATGAGCTACTGTGCCCTGCTTATTGTATTTTTATTAAGATTTTATTTTTATTTTATGTGTATGAGCATTTTGTCTGTATGCATGTACGTGCACCAGGTGTATGCCTAAAGAAGGCCAGAAGAGGGCATTGGCTTGCCAGGAACTGAAGTTACAGATGGTTTTGAGATGTCTTGTAGGTACTGGGAACCAAACCTGCTCCTCAGCAATAGCCACCTCCCCACCCCCTTGTTTTGTTTTGCTTTGTGTTTTTAAATATTTGATTATGTGTATGAGTGTATTGCCTGCATGTGTGTAAGTGCACCCGTGTTGTAAGAGGTCGTAAGAGGGCATAGGATTTCCCTGGAACTGGAGCTTCGGATAGTTGTTAGCTGCCATGTGGGTGCTGGCAATCGAACCTGGGTACTCTGCCATAGCAGTTAATGCTCTTAACCAGTGAGCCATCTCTCCAGCCCTAATTGTTTTGGGTCTTTTTTGAAACAGAGTCTTATATAACTGCCCTCAAACTCATTGTGTAGATAAAACTGGCTTTGAACTTCTGATCTTCCTACCTTCATTTCCCAAGTGCTGGTATTTCACGTGTATGTGGTACTACACCCAGATCAGATCTGTATTGTTTTTTCCAAAGATTAAAAAAAATTTTTTTTCTGAGTATGCATGTGTGCCCACTGGCCTGGAAATATTTATGTGTGCCACATGCATACAGGCCTGTGGAGGCCAGAGGAGAGCACTGGATCCCCTGGAACTAGAGTTACAGGCAGCTCTGAGTCACCATGTGGGTGCTGGGAACTGAACTCAGGTCCTCTGCAAGAACAGCAAGTGCTCTTTACTACTGAGCCACTTCTCCAGCCTTCCTTTTTTTTTTTTTTTTGGTCTTTTTGAAACAGGGTCTCCCTGTAGCTCCAGCTGCCTGAACTTGCTCTGTACACCAGGCTGGCCTCGAACTCACAGTGATCCTCCTGCCTCTGCCTCCCAAGTGCTCGGATTAAAGGTGTGTGCCACCACACCCAGCTTAGCCTCCCGTTTTTAAAAAATAATTTTTAAAACATTATTTAAGCCAGGTGTGGTGGCACAGGCCTTTAATCCCAGCACTTGGAAGGCAGAAGCAGATGGATCTTCATGAAATCCAGACCAGCCTGGTCTACATAGTGAGTTCCAGGCCAGCTGGGGCTACAGGGAGACCCTGCCACAAAAAGACAAAAACAAAACATTTACTATTGTGTTTGTGTGCACATTGAGTGTGAGTATGTATGTACATGCCATATGCTATGATGTACATGTGGAAGTCAGAGGAATTTGTTTGCTTCTACCAGCCTTGTTTCTTTTTTTTTTTCAGTCTTTTTGAGACAGGGTCTCCCTGTAGCCCCAGCTGTCCTGGAACTCACTATGTAGCCCAGGCTGGCCTTGAACTCACAGAGATCCGCCTGCCTCTGCCTCCCGAGTACTGGGATTAAAGGCGTGCACCACCACGCCTGGCTCATTTTTAAATTATATTTATTTATTTACTTATTTAGAGAGAGTGTGTGTGTGTGAAGGTCAGAGGACTTTTCCTTCTGTCCCATCATGTGTGTCCTGGGGATTGAGTTTAGGTTATCAGACTTGGTGTTAAGCACCTTTACCTGTTGAGTCATTTTGCTACCTCATTTTGGCTTGTTTTTGATTTATTATTTTTGTTACTTTATATATATGTGTGTACTGCCTGCATGTAGGTAAGTACAGGTCATGCAATGCCCACAGAGGTCAGAAGAGGCTGTCGGATCCCCTGGGACTGGAGTTACAGAGAGTTGTTAGCTGCCATGTAGATGCTGGGACTCGAACCCGGGTCTTCTGCAAGAACAACCAGTATTCTTAACCGCTGAGCCATCTCTCCAGCCCCTTGTTTTTGTTATTTTGAAACAGGGTCTTATGTAGCCCAAGCTACCTCAAACTCCCTGTCTGGCCAAGAATGACTTCAAGCTCCTTATCCTTCTATCTTAATCTCCCAAGTGCTGGGAGGTATGTACCACAGCATGCCTGATGTTTTTGTTTTGTTTTATTTTGTTTTGATTGTTTTGTTTGAGACAGGTTCTCTCTGTAGCCCCAGATGGCCTGGAACTCACTGTGGAGACCAGGCTGGTCACCATCTCATAGAGATCCACCTGCCTCTGACTCCCAAGTGCTGATATCAAGGTGTGTGACATCACCCCCCGCCTAGTTTTTGTTTTGTTTTTTTGAGACAAGGTATCAGAAATTCCCTTTGGCAGCCTGACCTCTGGAGCCTTGTATCTCAGCCTCCTAAGACTCCTTTCTTTCTCCCTAAAGCCTCTGTTCTTGCCACTCACTTGAGACTCTTTCAGAAAAGGGAAAACCAGAATGTAAAGAAATGAAGTGGCAAGAAGTCAGGTTCCCTGTCCCCTGGCTCATCACATAGCTACCCAGGGAGGAGAGCTGAGGCCTCTGGTGCCCAGGGTGGATTCTACAACTTGGGGTGGCGGGAATGGTACTGTGTTCGTGACTAACCTAAGCCAGTGCCTCCCTGCAGGCCTGGACCCCCCGCCCCCAGCACACTGAGAGTGACACCATTCGGCGCAAGGCTCACCGATGATGGCAGCGCAGAGCGTGTGGGGCAGCAGTGGCAGCCCATTGTCATAGGCCTCCTTGAGTGTGTACACCGGCCGGGGCCTCGGCCTCGCATCTAGCAGCAACCGCTGCAGCTCACCCAGCACCTGCAGCCAACGTTCCCGTTCCCCCTCGCTCTCAGCCAGGAGCAACACAGTACATGTGGTCGGTGGCACAGTCAGCTGGGAGGCCGTCACCTGTGGGCAAGGAGTCAGGCTGGAGGGCTGTGGCCAAGAGCCACCCACCTCTCCTCCCTTCCTTCCTCCATGCGCTGATGTTTGTTAGCACCAATTGCCGGCTAGACAGGTGCAGTGCTAGGCAGGGGGAAGCCAGATGGGACCAGACAAACACATGAGCAATTCCAGAGCCCAGTGACAGGCTCACAACAGGGGAAGGATAAGCATTGTGGGAACAAGAGAGTAGAATCCCAAAGCTAGGCCAAGAGATGAAGGATGATGGTCCAGAAGACGAGCACACCGCCCAGGTGTCAGTTAACCTGGGTTCAAGGGGCTTAGCCTGGCAGTTCTGTGCAGAGGGCTGAGACCAAGAAGGAGCTGTACATGGATACAAGGCACCCTGGGAACTACAAAGAGCAAGGTGTGTCCACGGCAGAGAAAGACACCAGGGTTGAGGGCTAGGAAGTCTGTAGACTCAGATGGGGGTGGCTTAGAGCCTTGTTTGTGAGTCCTTGAAGGGGCTTTAAACACCAATCTTTTTTTTTTTATTTGGTCGTTTTGAGACAGGGTTTCCTTGTAGTGAGTTCCCTGGACCAGGCTGGCCTTGAACACACAGAGATCCACCTGGCTCTGCCTCCCGAGTGCTGGGATTAAAGGTGTGCGCCACCATGTCCAGTTTAAACGCCAATCTTAAACCAGACAGGCTGAATCCAGATTCCTGGGTGGGCAAGCCCATGGTGGTTATAGACAGAGGTACGGAAGCCATCGTGTGGAAGTGAGGAGGCTGGCAGGAGTGGACATGCAGGAGTGACCAAGATGGCCAGCACAGGAAGGCAGATGGTGGCTGGGTCCATCCTTCCCTGAACACTCACTCTAAAGATGCGTGGCAGGTCCTTGGATTGGGCATGGATGACGTCTGAGGCCAGGACAGGGGTGGCTGAGAACTGGGGATCCCTGGGAGGTAGGCAGGACACAGAAGACATTATATTGTCCCTGGACGGCCCCCTCACCCACCAGTCACTTGTCCTGTGCCACTGCCCAGCAGAATCTACCTCAGATCCAAGGCCTGAAGGAAGACCCCACTGGCCAGGCTGCCCCGAGGGTCAGGGGCATCAAACAGCAGCAGGCGGGAGTCACTGAGGGCAGCATATACACGCTGCCAGCCCCGCCGGACGCCCGAAGGTCGTGGCACCTAGGGGGAAGCAGGCATGGAGGGCTGTGCAGCACCTCAACGCCCACCCATGCCTGTCCTTCCCATCCCCCAGCCCCAGCTCACCGACAGGAAGCCTTCATAGGCAGTGCCTGTGCCTGTTTCAGGGTGCACTCCCAGAGCTGTGCGGAGGAGTTCAGGGGGTACAGGGCAGGGTGGGGCCTGTGGGGCACAGGCAGAGTGACAGAAGTAGCCACAGGCTATAGGAGAATGGAGAGTTAAAAGTGGTGATGAGGCAGGGCAGGGAAGTCCAGAACCAGGACCTGAGCCTTCCCAGTCAGCTCCCATGGGGTGATGGTATCTTAACTGTCACCTATTGCCCATCGAGTGAGAAAAGAAAAACTAAATAATGGGGAATTTGACCAAGAGACATAGGTGATGCTGGGTTGAGGAACAGCCTGATGTGTCAGGGTTGTAGCTTGGGGTAGTGATGAGAGGCAGGGTCCTGAAGGAAAGGGGTTTCTTACTGTCACAGCTGAGGCCCTGGCGGCCCAGGCCCAGCATCAGGGAAGTACAATGCAGACACTTGGTAGGGGATAGGAAACTCCGGGGACGCAGTGTGTGTGAGCCGGGCTGTGGAGGGGTGCACACTATCACCATACTTGCCAGGGCCTCCCTGCACCCCATCCTCCATCCCAAAAGGGTCAGTTAGCCAAGAGGCTGCGCCAGCAGCAGTGTGAGCTCCAAGTGCCTGTGAGGCCATGGCAGAAAACCAGTGCCACCCCCACCCCCCAAACCCTGCAGGGGTTCCAGAGGGATTTTTGGAAAAGGACTGAAGGGCTTGATGCCCCAGTTTATCGCACCCCTCTGTACACTGACCTTAGCAGGAGGGTTTTCTGCAGGGGCAGTGGCTGCAGGCCCTCTGGGGAACACTACCTGTGGGAAGGTGCGTGAACAAGTCAGAAGCGTGGGAGCAGGCAGGCAGCCCAGCCCCTCCTGAGGGTCTCCAGCCTGTCCTCACCCCCATGCGCAGGCTGCGGCGGCCCTCCGGCCTCAGCTCTGACTCTGCTGCAGGTCTTGGGGCTTCCCCTGAGCTGCCAGGGTCCTTGGTAAAATCCTTTTGGGGATGAGTATGGGTGGGACAAAGTTAAGACCACCATGCCTCTCACCAAGACTCCTCCCCAACCAGCCCCTTTGCTTGGTTCTTACCCCTGTGTTCCAGAAGGACAGGAAAGGGATGAGAGAGGTGGAAGGCTTGCCATCTGTAGACAGAAGGTGTGGGTAACTGAGGTGCCGTCCCTGGGCTAAGAAACCAGGGGTCAGGGGGTGGGGCCTGGTTTCTACCTCAGTAAAGTACTACAGTAAATGACCGCAGGTGAGGGTTACGGGAGTCTGCTACATGGAAGTGCTCAGTAAGTGCTGGGTGACAGGTGTTGGTATAAACAGCAATGTACAGGAATAGATGTCCCTCCATACCAGCTCAGCTGTCATGGGAACACCCTGGTGTCCACAAGGCTGGAGTCAGGGATTGGCTCCGGGGTAAGCGTGCTGTGGCCACTCACCCCCTGGCCCACGGGCTCGAAGCTCCTCTCGTAGTTCAGCCACCTCCTGCTGCAGGGCCTGGCTTTGCTTCTCAGCCTCCTGCAGGCAGCTGAGGGAAGGGGGCAATGGTCACCACAGGCCTTGTGTGGGCCCCACTCCTGCAGTATCGACCCCTGGTCTCACCGCTCAGCCTGCAGTTGAGCCTCTTGCACCTGCGTCAGTCGCTCCTGTAGGCTCTGCTTGGCCCGGATCTCAGCCTCCAACGCTGACTGTAGCTCCAGCCGGGCGGAAGCCTCCATCTTCTGTAGCCGCCGAGCCTTCCACTGATGATCCTGGTGGCCAAGGAGGGTACCCATAAGATACCCTCTGGGACTGGAAGCCTCCGAGATGCCTTCCCTCCCACTGGAGCATATAGCTGCCCATGCTGCCTGGCCAGACCCAAAGACCTCACTCTGCTATGCCCTACCCCTCAGCATAAAGCTAGGTCTTGACGGCCAGCAAGATGGACGGCAGGGACATGTGCTTGCTGCCAAGCCATTAGATCTGCATTTAATTCCCAAGACCCACATGGTGGAAGGAAAGAATCGACTCCCACAAGCTGTCCTCTGATCTCTACACACATGCCATGGTACACATGTACACACACCCCCCAAATAATATTTTTTTAAAATCTGGGGCTCACCAGAGGCCGGGTGGGGAGTGTCTGGGTGCCCACATTTCGCAAAGACTCTAGCTCCTCCGCCATCTTAGTGGCCAAGGCCTGCAGGTAGCCTCTTGAGACCTTCTCATCATTCACCCTGATTGGGAAAGGGCTCAGGGTCATGGTTTGGGTCTTCATCCCTGCCCAGTCCTGCCCAGCCCCACGGCACCCACCAGCTGAGGATGTCAGTGATCTGGGCCTCCCAGTTGCTCTCCGTCTCCCGACGCTCGCCTTCCAAACGCTGTTTGCTCTGTAGCTCCAGCTCCAGCTCTTCTACCAGCTGGGGGCCCGAAGGAAGACCCCAGTGGTCCTTGTAGCCCTGAGTATTTACCAGTTCCCCAATCCCTGCTAACCTCCTCACAGATTCCTTCTCTCTCTCTCTCTCTCTCTCTCTCTCTCTCTCTCTCTCTCTCTCACACACACACACACACACACTCTGAGCACCATCTACCTTCACGATTCCCACATGCTGCGGTGTGCCCAGCATCTGGGACCCTGGAGCTCTGCCCCCACCCTCCTGCCACCCAGTCTGTCCCCTTGCCTGCCACCTGCCCTGCTCACCCGCTCCTGCTCCCGGCTCAGCCTCTGGTTCTCCTCCTGTAGCCGGCACAGAGCCTCCTCCTTGCCACCACTGATCCTGAGGAGGAGATGGACATGACTCCTGGTCCAAGCCTGCCCTGTCCCCTCCTGGCTGCCCTTGCCGTGTGCTCACCCGTGGCTGCAGGCCTGCTCCAGCTGCTCCCTCAGAGCAGCCACCTCTTTCCTCAGCTGGGCCTCCTCAGGCTGACCTTCAAGTGATCTCATACCGTTGGTCTCAGAGGCTGTATGGACGGTCTTGACAATGTGTAGAGGGGTCAAGGCGGGAGCTCCAGAAGCCATGGCCCACCCATCCCTGGGCCTGGGTCCCTGAGAGGGGACAGCCCGAGAGGGAGTGCCTCTCGCCACAGGGGGGAAACTTCAATACCTTCGCCTGGGATGACTCCTCACGGCTTTGTTTACATTGTCCCTGGAGCTGGGTCACCTCCTGATTCAGGGTTGCCACCTGGCCCTCCAGCTGTGATGGGGGACAGAGACAGGCTGATGCTGATCCTGCCCACCCAACTACCTCTGTTACTTTGGCACAGACTCATTCAGCTAGATAGAGGAGGTCCCAGACACCCACCCTCACCACCAGGCCCTGCTCAGCCTCCACTAGCACATAGGGTTTACAAGGCCTATGGGGTTCTCAACAACTTTAACAAAGGTCCCAGACACTGTCCCCTTCCACTCCTGCCACCCACTTCTCTCCGAGCAACTTGGGCTTCCTCCAGCTGGGAGCTCAGGGCCTGGATCTGGCTGGCTGTGGCTGCCTCTCTCTCCTGGGCTTCCCATAGTTTCTGGAGCAATTCTTCCTGCCGGTCCTGGGCTCGGCACAGCTCATTAGCTTGCACCTTCAGTGCTGCCTGAGTGTCGGCCAACTCCTGAGGAGCCAGAGCACAGAGAACAAGGCCCAGTCAGGGTTTATGACATGGAGTCATGACACAGAGCCCTGGCCACTAACCCACCTCACCTAGTCCTACCTGCTTGAGGCAGTCCTTTTCCTGTTGTAGTTCAATGTTTGGGTCTAGGCTCCCTGCTGGGGGGCCATCAATGTGGTACAAGGAGGCCTTGCTGTCCCTCAGTGCCTCTGTCAGGAATAGTCACTGAGATCCATACATAAGACCACCCCAGCCTTAGCCAAGCACTCTCACAGCCAGGGGAGGGTCTCCCAAGCTCAGAACACTGAGCTACTTCCTCAAGATCACACAGCATACCCAGAGCAGGGGCAGGACTAGAACCCAGAAAGGATGCAGGCTGTTGTAGGCTTGGGGAAAGATACCTGCCAGTCTCTCCTGAAGAGTCTGGACTTCCTTCTGTAGCCGCACCAGCTCCTGGGGCTGGGAGGGGCCATGCAGGGCCTCTGACACAGGGAAGGACCCACACAGGTGAGCAGCCAGGCCTGCAGCAGTTTACCCTTCACCCTGACCTATAACCCCAGCCCTGGCCCAGCTGCCTCTGTACCTTGGCAACTCCAGCTCAATTCCACCTTCTCCAGAACAGCCTGTGGCTCAGAGCTCTTCTCAGGACTGGGGCTGAGATGGGTACAGGGGAACACTGTTGGCAGAAAACCCACTCCCAAAGATTCCCACCCTCCTGTATCAATCATTATTTATCCATCCAAGAAACATCTGGGACATGCCAGCTCCACACTGAGGGCTGGATGCATGCCTTTAATCCCAGCACTCAGGAGGCAGAGGCAGGTGGATCTGTGTGAGTTCAAGGCCAGCCTGGTCTATATAGTGAGTTCCAGACGAGCTGGGGCTACAGGTCTCAAAAAGACCACCCCCCACCCCCAAAAAAGTCAATAACCTGGGCTGGGCGTGGTGATGCACGCCTTTAATACCAGCACTTGGGAGGCAGAGGCAGGCGGATCTTTGTGAGTTTGAGGCCAGCCTGGTCTACATAGTGAGTTCCAGGACAGCTGGAGCTACAGGGAGACCCTGTCTCAAAAAGACAAAAAAATAAATAAAAATAAAAATCAATAACGTTTACCAAGGGTTTGCAAAAGGCCTTGGCAAGATGGGCCCACTGGCCCACGCCTGGCCCTCAGGGTGTGCTGCTCAGAGCATTCCTTCTACCTGGAGCACTCTTCACCAGCCCTCTCCTGGGGCTTCAGGCCACCCCAAGGTATTTGAGGGAGCGATCCTCCCACCCATTTGAAAGAGGTAAGTGAGGCCAGTGGTAGGAGCTGCCATAGCCTCTGCTATGACCCCAGTGCATCTGACAGCCTTTTGAGCAAGATGGCCATGTGTTGGAATATGTCCCAGGAACATGGCCCTGAGGACAGAGGACTTAGAGCACCTGCCACCTGCAGAAGCCTGGAAGCCATTCTGTCTCTTCCCTCAGGGCACTGATGGGCCACACCTACTCTCAGCTTCCCAGTAGGTGTGAGGACCAAACTCACCTGCCTGAGGTATAGGTAAAGCCTACAAATGGCAGGTGGTGGCCTGAAAAGGCCCCATGGGAGGACGGTGGTAGCGTCTCCTACAGGAGAGGGAAGAGTCAGAGCCACAGACAGGGAAAACCAGAAGACCCCAGAAACTGGCTATGCACCCAGGGGAACACAGCCCCCCACCACAATTCCCATGAGTCTTGTGTTCAAGGTCTTCCAGAGGCTGCTGGGAGTTTTTTTCCTTATTTGAACTCTTGTTACTAGGATAACAGCTAGAGTCAAAGGGTTTTCACTTGGCATAAACCACCTCAGTGCAAGTAAGCCAGCCCAGGTGAGCCCTAACTCTCATGAGTTCCAGAGGTCCAAAGGCCTCACCCAGGCCAGCAGCTGCTCTGGGAAACATCTGGGGTGGGGGTGGGGGGGTCAAGGCAGCAGCCTCTTGCAAAGGCACCTGCCACTTACTGGATGGTTGAGGGTGTCATCATCCACGTCAAAGTTGGAGGTATCCATAGGTCCACGGAGCTCAGGGATGTAAGGGGCTGTGCTGGTGGCCAGTCGCTCCCAATCCACACCTTCAAAGAAAGGGTGTTTCCGGAAGTCATCCAGCCCACCACAACCCAGCCGCTCCTCCTGGCGGCAAAGAAGCTGGCGGATCAGGTCCTGGGCACTGGCAGGCACATCAGGCACATCCGAGGGAAAGTGCAAGTGGTCCTATGGGTTAGGGGACAGGTGGGTCATGCTGGGAGCTCACCTTGGCCTACAAGCATCAACAACCACACAGTATAGGTGTGCCATACTCTCCCCTGAACCCCAGAGCCCAGCAGCCAGACCTCATGGTTCATGATCTTGCCGTAGGTTTCCACCAGGGATTCAGCATAGAAGGGTGTTTCCCCAAAAAGCAGCTCATAGGCACAGACTCCCAGGGACCACCAGTCACACTGTGGACCATAGTGGCCCTTGCCCTCCTCCATGGCCTGCAGGATCTCAGGAGAGATATAGTCTGGGGTTCCAACTGCTACTGATGAATCCACCTGTGTAGGGGTGTTGGTACCATGAAGCCTCAGGGCTGGGCGGGGAACCCCAATCTCCAGGTGCTCCCTGCCTAGAGCCCAGTGCCCCATACTAGACCTGGTATCCTCAGCTCCAACTCTGGGCAGGGTTCTTACCATGCCACTATTGTTGAGACGCAGACAGGAGCCAAAGTCTGCCAGGCGGATGTGGCCATTCATGTCCAGCAGGACATTGTCAGGCTTGACGTCCCTGAAGGAAGGCGGAAAGTGAAGGGCGTGATCTCTGTGTGTGTGTGTGTTTAGGTGCATGCTCAGATGTACACCTGCCTGTGTGCATACACATATGTGTTCCTGTGTGTACATGTGAGCTGTGTGTGCATACATGTGGGAGTTAGTGAAGGCAGGTGGTGAGGAAGAAGGCAGCTAGACTGGGGGAACAACCCATAGAGATGATTCCAGGGACTTCAAAGTGCACTGTGGAGGGTGCAGGAGTCAGATATACCCTTGTAGACACCATAGCTCTGCCACCATGAGCTGGGTGGCCTTGAACCAGGGGCTTACCTGTGTTATGCTCAGACTTCCTCATCTGTAAGATGGGCACACTGGCTTTTGGAAGGAGATTTCAAGGGAAGTCCACATCCAAAGCACCCCGCCATATTGGGCATGGCAAACACACAACAAACACTTGCCATCCACCTATGTAGTAGGGTTGACAGGAGTGACAGCGCTTGAAGTCCCACCTGTGGACATAGCCCAGCTGGTGCAGCGAGTGGATGGCCAGCACCATCTCAGCCAGATAGAACTGGGCCAGCTCGGGTGGGAGGCGGTCCTCAAAACGGCTCAGCAGTGTGAGGAGGTCCCCGCCAGCGTAGTAGTCCATCACCAGGTACTGGAGGGCAGTGGGTGAGGCCAAGAGTCAGACATGGGATAGGGACACATATGTCTACCTCACTCTGGTTCTATAGGGCTCTGGGAAGACGGGGCTGTGTCCCCGATGACTCCAGGGTGGCCAGCTCCTAAGCAGAGCTAAGGAAGGGGGCTCCAAGTCTAGGCACTGGTGGGAAGTAGGAGCCTCCCAGTCCTAGGAGAACCCAGCGCCTCTCTCCCCAAGGGCCTTCCTTCTCATTCTCTATCCCAGGCAAGGCTCCTGTACCATCCAAAGATCCGCACCAGATATTCCTCGTCTTGGAAGGCATAGTGCAGAGCAGTCACCCAGCGGCTGTCCCCCTTCACCAGGACATCTCGCTCCTCCCGGAAACAGGCCGTCTGAATCAGGTTTGGGGGAGCAGGGGATAGCGTATGATCAGATCCCAGGAACTCCCCCTCCCTAGCTCAGGGAATGGAGAAGGACTCAAAAGCCCAGAGCCTCTGACCAAGAGAACAGGTTTGCTCAGCTCCAGGCCAGCCTTGGATAAGCTCAAGCCTAGGCTTTATGGCTGTGGGCCTCCATGTTACCATACAGAGAATGGGTACAGCCCCGCTTGCTCTTAAAAAATGTTTACTGGGGCTGGAGAGATGGCTCAGCGGTTAAGAGCGCTGGCTGCTCATGAAGAGGACCAGAATTCAGATCCCAGTTGTGATGCCCTCTTCTAGCTTCCATGGGCATTGCATACATGTGGCACACTCACATACACGCAGGCAAAATATTCATACACGTAAAAATAATAAATGAAATATTAAAAAAAGAGAAAGAGAGGGGCTGGAGAGATGGCTCAGCATTTAAGAGCACTGACTGCTCTTACAGAGGACCAGGTTCGATTCCCAGCACCCATATGGGTGCTAAGAACCATCCATAATTCCAGTTCCAGGGGAATCCAAAGCCTCTTCTGACCTCAGCAGGCACTGCATGACATGGGTGTACTTACACACAAGCAGGCATAACACTCATAAAACATAAAATAAAAATAAATTAAAAAAAAGAGAGAGAGAGAGAGAAAGAAGTAGGAGAAAAGTGACTTTTAAGGGTTTGACCCCTATGACCCAACTGTCCCCCTGGCGGTACACACACCTTCCCCCACCCCTTTGCAGGGGGCATTAGACCCCCAACTGACCTCAGCCCTCTTCAGCATCTCCCATTTATGCAACATCTTCATGGCAAAAATCTGGCCACTGTCCCTCTGCCTCACTACAGCAACCTGAGGTCACATCAAGGACTGAGGTTAACCCAGATCAGGTACAAAGCCCCTCCTCCCCACTTACCCCAAGACCTTTGCTCACCTCCCCAAAGGCCCCTCGGCCAATCACCTTCAAGATCTCAAAGTCATCTCTCTGTAGACGCAGCTCTCTCACTTTTGCTACAAAGGGGCTGGCTGAGGGGACAGAGTAGATGCAGAGCTGTCTCTGTGGGTACTCCCACAAGGCCAGGCCAGGGATGACTTTACCAGAGACAACCCAGCCAAGGGACCCGATAAGAGCCAGGGCCTATTGGGCCATGATGAGGAGCATGGGCAAGTGAGGGTCCTGATTCCATGGACCACCTGGCCTTGGGAGCTCCCTAGACCCTTGCTCCAGACTCCAGGCAGCCTCCATCCCAAGCACAGATAGAACTTGTAGTCCTCCCCAGTCAGAGGCTCAATCCTGGCTGGCCAGGTCACCCTAGGGACCATGAGGATACCATTCCTACCCCCAGCTCACAGCTCTGGGCCCCTCACAGGGTCAAGCCAGGGCCTGTCTGGGAATCTGGATAGGTGACATTCCTTGTCCCCAGAGAGGTTTCTCTGCCATTCAGAAGCTGTGGGCCTGGGTCTGGGGACTCTGAAAGTAGAGTACAACCTGGCTGTCGGTGAGGCCTAGAGCAGCCCCTGAGGGCAGGGAGGACAGTGACTCTGCAGTGCTCCCCAGGTAAGGCCCCCACTGGAGGCACAGACACCAGCCTGCCCAGATAATCACAAGACTCAAAAACAGGGCCAAAAACCTTTACCTGGTACCCAATGCCAGCACCTGAGGGCGTGAATACTTAGGATCCCCTCCAGGCCTGCCAGCCCTGCCTCTTGGAGCCTTTCCTCCCTCTCTGGATGGGGCTTTTGCTCAGTCAGGAGCCTCCTTCTGCATCATGGTCCCCACATTCCCCTGAGGGCCAACTCCAGCCACTCCCAGGCCCTCCCCAGGACTGGAGTAGCCCCAGGCCAGGGGGAAGGGCATGGAGTTTTGGGAACTGAGGAAGACAGGAGTGACCAGTGAGGACTGGGGGCACCGGTGGTCTGACGCCTTGCCTCAGTTTCCCCCTGCCAGGAGGTGAGCTCCCTGCCAGCTGGGCGGGCCTGTGGGTGGGACAGAGAGCTGTTCCACAGGTTTATCAGGCTGAATCCCCACAGCGGGGGTGGTGTGGAAACCTCATTACAAAAATTAATTGTCTCTTTCCCAGGTTGTGTGGGGAGGAGCAGACACCAGCCTCCAAGGGGGAGCTGAAATCAGAATGGTGACCACCAGCCACACACGCCAAGACTGGTGCCCACAAGCCCAGAAGATCTAGGCCCCTGGACAGGATACCCAGTCCCCCTGGCTTGCCACGGGAGGTGGGGGCTCTGGGCAGGAGTAGGGACAAGTTGGGGCAGGAGAGGCATGAGTCACGCCCTTGGAGTTACCTCGGGAGATGTCAACAGACGTCCCCTATGTTGGGGTCCGAGGCAGAGGTGCCAGAGGCAGGCAGGGAGAAGAAACAGACGTGTGTGCAAACACACACACAGGTGTGGGTGTCATGCGAGGGGGTTGGGGGGGTGATGACAACTCAGACAGAGGCATAACACAGGAAGAGTTACAGAGAAACAGGCAGGCAACAGGGGCAGGGCCTCTGACTGCCCTCACCCCAGGCAGAAGTGACATGGCTGTGTGACAGGCCCCCCAACAGTCCCAGGCCCAGCCTTGTGCCTACCCACAACTCAGGAGCGCCAAGAACGCTGGCTGCCCATTGGGCAAACACCCCACCTCACCTCACCCTCCAGGTCCAATCCTTAACCCTCCCCCCAGAGCCCCGCCAGGTGTGACCAGGGAACCCTTGTGCTGGCGCCAGTGCCCACACTGGGTTCAGGGTCACCCCGGGCCAGCCACTCCCGAGGATTTAGATGAGTCAGCTAGGAAAGGGTACAGACCCACTTTCAACCAGCCTCCCACCCCCCAACAAAGGGGCTGGGGAGGACCTGCAAGGTGGGGGGAGTGTCTGTGCAATGTGCCGTCCAAAGGATTTGTGAATGCATGTGTCAGAGCTGGAGATGAGAAGGGTCCCGGGGCGAAGTGCTTAGCCCAGCGTCCCTGGGGCGAAGTGCCCAGCGTCCATGAGGAATGGGGTTTGAGAAAGCCTGTGTGTTTGTGTGACACAAACGGGCGTCTGCCTCAGTGTGTCCTGTGTGGAGCAAGAGGTGTGACTTGTGACCAAGGAATCCTGTAGGTGACAATGTGGAGGACGTGGATTTGGTCGCATATGCCTGGGGTTGATTTACAGCTGGGAACAAGTGTGTTTGTGTGTGTGTGTGTGTGTGTACCTGTGTCCGCCTCTCCAAATGAGGGTGAGGGGTACAGGTGAGTGAGCGGGCAGGGGGAATCCCGAAGCATGCGTTAGAGATAGTGCCAGGGGTCTGTATCTTCCAGTGGAGTTTCAGGAGTGTGTGTTCCTGGGGAGGGGTCTGGAGCTCCAGTCGGTGTCCCTCGGGCCTCCCTCCCCGGGTGCCGCCCTGACCACTCACCCCAGCTCAGAAACTGCGCCACGTTGCGCTCCCGGCGCAGGGGGGCGCCGCTGAGCTCCTGGTGCAGCCCCAGCAGCAGATCCAGGAGGCCGTCGAGCCCCGGGCCCCCGCCGGCCTCACCCCGCACCAGCTGCTCCAGCGCACGCAGCCGTTGCTCCATGGCTGCGGCTGGAGCCGCGCACCCGGGCTAGAGCCGGGCCGCCCGCATGCCCCGCCCGTCCCTCGGCCGGTCCGTCCGTCCGTCCGTGCCTGCGCCACCGGCTCCGCGGCCTCCCCCCACCCTCCCGCCCTTCCCGCTGTCACCTTCCCCGCCGCCGCCC